CTTAGGTGAAATATGCTTTGTTCGGTCTCCTTTGATATATCCTCCCTTTAATTGAGTTATGCAAGCAACATTATCTTCATACAATATTGTTGAAATCTTTGTTTGCACATAAAAATCGCATAATTGCAAAATGTGTTGAGTCATTGATCTTAACCATACACACTCTCGACTGGCTTCATGAATGGCTATTATCTCTGCATGATTTGAAGAAGTAGAAACTATTGTTTACTTCATCGAACGCCATGATATAGTTGTACCTCCATATGTGAATAAATAGCCTGTCTAAGATCGGGCTTTATGTGGATCAGACAAATAGCCAGCATCTGCATAACCGATCAATTCTGATTGGATGCATTAGAATACAACAATCTCATATCAATTGTTTCTTGAAGATATCTGAATATATTCTTAACACCTTTCCGATGTCTTCTTGTTGGACATGAGCTGAATCTCGCCAATAAACTTATTGTGAAACAAATATCTGGCCGGGTATTGTTGGCTAGGTACATTAGTGCCCCAATAGCACTAAGATATGGTGTTTCATCACCAAGAATCTCTTTATCCTTTTTTTGAGGTCGGAATGAATCTTTATTTATATCGAGAGATCTCACAACCATCGGGGTACTCAATGGGTGTGATTTATCCATGTAAAATCGCTTCAAAACCTTTTCAGTATATGTTGATTGATGGATAAATATTTCACTTTTCAAATGTTCAATCTGAAGGCTAAGACAAAATTTTATCTTTCCAAGAACTTTCATTTCAAATTCTTTCTTCAAACACTCAACGACTTTTGAAAGCTCTGTAGGAGTTTCAATGATGTTCAAGTCATCAGCATAAATAGATATTATTACAAATTCAGATTTTAACCTTCGTATAAAAATACAAGGACAAATAGGGTCATTCTTATACCCTTCTTTTAGCAAATAGTCGCTAAGACGATTATACCACATTCGCCCTGATTGTTTCAATCCATATAAGGCTTTCTGAAGCTTTATTGAACAACTTTCTTTTGAATTTTCATATGCTTCAGGCAATTTGAGTGCTTCAGGGATTTTCATAAAAATATTATGGTCTAGTGAACCATATAAATAAGCTGTGACAACGTCCATTAGATGCATTTCAAGCTTTTCATGAACTGTCATATTTATTAGATACCTGAAGGTAACTGCATCTATCATAGGAGAAGATGTCTCCTCATAATCAATGCCAGGTCTTTGCGGAAATCTTTGTGCCACAAGTCGTGCTTTATATCTTACGACTTTATCATTTTCATTGTGTTTTCGCACAAAAACCACTTGTACCCAACTGGCTTGACACCTTCAGGGATTTGGATTATTGGTCCAAAAACTTCACGTTTTTCAAGTGAAGCCAATTCTGTTTGAATTGCTTCCTTCCATTTTGACCAATCATTTCTTTGTCTACATTTATTGACAGATCGTGGTTCTAAATCCTCATCTTGTTACATTATTTCAACTGCAACATTATAGGCAAAAATATTATCCACCACAATATTATTTCGATTCCATTTTTTTCTCGTCGAGACATAATTTATAGAGATTTCTTTATTCTCATTATTTCTAGGTACATGGACCTCCTCTACGGTGTCTTCATTTATTATGTCTCGGAGCTCTTCATGAGCAATTGCCTCTATATTATGATCATCTTAATCATTTATTCCTTTTTTTCGAGGATTTTTATCCTTGGAACCAATTGGTCTACCACATTTTAAGCGTGGTCCAAACTCATTTGCCTTAACATTTTGTCCTATCGGGACATCAACTCGAACTTGAGCATTAGCAACTGGGATATATGATTTAGTAACACGTGAAAGGTTAGTAAATGCATCCGGCAATTGATTTGCAATATTCTACAAATAAATTATCTTTTGAACTTCTTGCTCACATTGATTTGTTCGAGGATCTAAATGAGACGGTGAAAGTGAATTCCAATTTATCTCATTTCCCAATTGCTTTTGTTCTCCCCCTAATGTTGGCTGATTCATCAAAATGACAATCAACAAACCTTGCCGTAAATAAATCTCCAGTTCTAGGTTCCAAATATTTTATAATAGAACGAGATTCATACCCAACATATATCCCCAACCTTCTTTGGGGACCCATCTTTGTGCGTTGTGGTGGAGCAATTGGAACATATATCGCACAACCAAAGATTCTAAGATGGGAAATGTTTGTCTCCTGACCAAAAACCAATTGTAATGGGGAGATGTCATGATAACTGGTTGGCCTTATGCGCACAAGTGCCGCTGCATGCAAAATAACATGCCCCCAAATCGAAACAGGCAACTTTGTCCTCATCATCAATGGTCTAGCTATCAATTGAAGACGTTTAATCAATATCTCTGCTAAACCATTTTGAGTATGAACATTTGCAACAGGATGTTCAACTGTTATTCCAGTGGACAAACAATAATCATTAAATGCCTAAGATGTAAACTCACCAGCATTATCAAGACGAATTTTTTTTATTGCATAATTTGGAAATTGTGCTTTTAACCTTATTATTTGAGCCAACAACCTCGCAAAAGTTATATTACGAGTTGATAATAAGCACACATGAGACCATCTTGTAGATGCATCTATCAAGATCATATAATATTTAAATGGTCCACATGCAGGGTGAATTGGCCCACATATATCACCCTGTATCCGTTCCAAAAATGCGGGAGATTCCACTCTAACCTTAGTTGTTGATAATTTGGTAACCAACTTTCCTTGTAAACAAGCAGCACAAGAGAATTCCTTTGATTGAAGAACATTTTGGTTCTTCAAAGTATGCCCATGTGAATTTTCAATTATTTTGCGCATCATATTATAACCGGGATGGCCCAACTGATCATGCCATATGATAAAATCATTAGAACCAGTAAACCTTTTGTTTACTACGGCATGTGATTCAACCGTATCAATATTTGTATGGTACAACCCAGAAGAAAGTGTAGGCAATTTTTCATGCACAGTTTTCTTCTCCGCATTTATTGTAGTAATATAAAGGTATTCAACATTTCCTTCATTCGCAGTCTCAACATGATAGCCATTTGGCGAATAACCTTGAAATTTAACAAGTTTCTATGAGACTTACTACAATACAATGCATTATCAAGTACCAATAATGTTCCTGCAGGTAGTAATAAGGCAGCTCTTCCAGAGCCTTGAATTAATTTTGTACTACCGGATATTGTATTAACATATGCCTTTTTCATTATTAAATGAGAGAAATGTTTTTTTTCTCTTAGTATCGTATGAGTTGTGGCACAGTCCACAAGACACATATCTCCATTACTCATCTTGGATCCAACTGAAGACTAGGAAATTTTATTTATCTTCATAAAAATAAAAATACATAATAAGAAGTACGAAAGTTAACAAAAGAAAATTTAAGTACATGAACTTTAAGTAAGACATTAAAAACATATAATATTATTCATTTCCTAGTTCAATTATCAATCTTTAATTGCGATTCCCAAATAAGTCCTCAACTTCTAGATGAGTAATATCATCGGGCCCATCAAAAACATCATCTTTCAATGCTAAATTCGCCTCAACATTCTCATCATATTTTTGAGAAGACCCTGCCTGAGCATCATCTTTGAGAGTTAAATGTGACTCCACTCGGACATTAGAAGAGGAGGCACCACCTTTATTCCCTTTCCTTTTATAGAAATTTTGATACAGCCTGACAAAATACTTAGGTGCCTGACATTCATTTTTCCAGTGACCTTTAAGGCTACAACGATGACAGTGATCGCCCTTGCCTTTTGAAGGATTATTTTGAGAACCCATATTGTTCTCCCTTTTGTTATGACCACAACCTCAACGATTATTATATCGTCTTTTGCCTTTGCCACGTCCACGCACATTATCATGGCCCCGATTATTTTGTCTTATTTTAGACTGACCGTGTGTTTCTACCCCGTGGGCCTCCGGTAATGGAGCACTTCCAGTGGGACGGGCTTCATGATTTTTCATTAAAAGGTCATTATGCTGCTCAACCACCAGAAAACATGAGATTAATTCAGAGTATTTTTTAAAACCCTTTTCACGGTATTGTTGTTGTAATATCATATTGGAGCTATGGAAAGTAGTTAGTGTCTTTTCCGACATGTCCTCATCTTTTATAACTTTCCCACATAATTTTAATTGGGAGGTGATTCTAAATACATCAGAGTTATACTCAATTACAGTTTTATAATCTTGAAACCGTAAGTGCATCCACTCATAACGAGCCGTTGACAATACAATTGCCTTGAGGTGGTCATACCTCCCTTTCAAACCTATCCACAATTCAAGTGGATCTTTCACTGTCAAGTATTCAACCTTCAAGCTTTCATCAAGATGATGACGAAGGAAAATCATAGCTTTCACTTTATCCTGACTTGATGCCTTATTTCCTTCGATTATACAATCACCAAGACCCTTAGCGGTAAGGTGAATTTCAGCATCAAGTACCCATGACAAATAGTTCTTTCCAGAAATGTCAAGTGCCACAAATTCAAGCTTTGACAAATTCGACATGATGAAAACTGACTCTAAAAAAAAGTTGATTAACTTTTAGGAATTAATTTCGAATTAAGTAGGTTTCAGTTGGTTAGAGACTCGTGCTGATAACGTGTTGTAAAATGAGAGCAAAATATAATAATACTAAACAAGTAAGGAAGACAAATTGTGATGGAAAGTATAGAGGAGAGAGTATTCTTTTATCTCTTCAAGTATGTATTCCTAAGGGTGAAGACTACCCTTTTATAGGATGTTTAAACCATCCTTTTACAATATTTGACAATATGTTACTATAATATTTAATTAATATAATAAATGGATACATCATGTTAGGATAGATTAATATTAGGATAGATTAATAGAAACATCACACAATTAAGTGGATTTGTAACAGGAGCAAATATTTAGGAAGAGTCACAACAAAATAATTGATCTTAATTCAAATTTTTATTTTTTTTAAATATTGAAATTTCAAGATTAATTATGGCGCTGTGACTGATGTTTTTCCTCTCCAATTATATATTGAAAGATAACTGCCCAATTCCCCAAAATACCCCTACAAACCCCAAGTAAAGAGAAGCTCTCCTTAAACCCTTGCTAACAGCAGCAGCAGTAGCAGTCTCCAAATTATGTACATGCATTTCCTCCTCCGTCGAACGCACCACCACCAGCGTCAACAATGGCGGACACTATTCGACGATGCCCTTTCCATCAAACATGTAAGAGATCGTGGATTGGACCACGCTGTCGAAAGAGAAAAGAATCTCAAACCACTTCTCAACATCAAGAATCTTATCAAATCTGAACCATCGAAATCTATTCCCTTAAACATCATCACACAATCTAAAGATACTCTACAAATCCCATCTCGCCCCATTGAGTTTATCCGAAAATATCCTTCAATTTTTCAAGAATTTTTCCCTGCTAGCATAAACATACATCCCCATATCAAGTTAACCCCAGAAATTCTCAGTATTGACTCAGATGAAGAGTTGTTCTATCAAAGTGTGAGTTACAAAGAAGATGTTGCAGATAGGCTTTTGAAGATTTTGATGATAGGTAAAATTAATAAAATTCCTTTACATGTTATTGATAAGCTTAAATGGGATTTGGGTTTGTGTAATAATTTTGTGGAAACTATAGTACCAGAATATCCGGATTATTTTCAGGTGAATGATGAGTCAATGTTGGAGTTAGTCTGTTGGAGTCATGAACTTGCTGTTTCCTTTTTGGAAAAACAAGCAGTGAAATGTGAAAGTGAGGATTTGTTAGTTAAGTTTGATTTGAAGTATTCGAATGGGTTTGAGATGGATAAGAAGTATAAGAAATGGGTTGATGAATGGAAAAAATTGCCTTATATTTCGCCATATGTGAATGTAAAGAATCTTCCTGAAAAGAGTGATGAAGCTGATAAGTGGGCAGTGATAATTTTGCATGAAATTCTTAGTCTTTGTGTTGGGAAGAAGGCGGAGAAAGATAATTTGCTTTTGATAGGAGAGTATTTGGGACTTCGTTCTAGGTTTAAGAGGGCATTGTTGTTGCATCCTGGGATATTCTATGTGTCAAGTAAGATCGACACACATACTGTGGTATTGAAGGAGGGCTATAAAAGGGGAATGTTAATTCAGAAGAACTCGTTGATAGAACTGAGGTCTAAGTATGTTTATCTCATGAACAAGGTTATGGAGGATAAAAAATCGAAAGAAGTGCAGCAAAAAGGTAGTCATGATCTGCAAGAAGGTGATGCAAAGGAAACTGATGTTGATAATGAAGATGAAGAAGAAAAAGATTATGATGAGGACTCTGATGATGTGCATAATGACTACCATGATGATGAGACGGACAATGAGGCTAGAGATGTGAAGCATAGCCAAAGAGTAAACTCGAGGACAAGAGTTGATGATAGAAACTCGATGACAAGAGATGATGATAGGAAGCCTAGCCGAAGATTAAACTCGAGGACAAGAGTTGATGATAGAAACTCGATGACAAGAGATGATGATAGGAAGCCTAGCCGAAGATTAAACTCGAGGACAAGAGTTGATGATAGAAACTCGATGACAAGAGATGATGATAGGAAGCCTAGCCGAAGATTAAACTCAAGGACAAGAGTTGATGATAGAAACTCGATGACAAGAGATGATGATAGGAAGCCTAGCCGAAGATTAAACTTGAGGACAAGAGTTGATGATAGAAACTCGATGACAAGAGATGATGATAGGAAGCCTAGCCGAAGATTAAACTCGAGGACTAGAGATTATGATAGGAATACTTCAGCTACCTCTCCGAGGACATCCTTGGGGAGAAATCAAAATAGAGATGTGGAAAGGCCATCAAGAAGATCGTCTTGGAGAGCAGAAAATAACAGTGAGCAAGATGCTCGATCAAGATATGGGGACAGAAAGCTTCCAATAAATTCATTGAAGACTTCGGCAGGAAGAAGTTCCAACAGAACCAACGAAAGAGTCTCTCGATCTCCTAGGAGGGCGGTGACTAATGATAATCAATATACTCACCGGAGATCAAGTAACAAATTTGATCTTCATAGAAACCGGGGAACATCTGAACAGAGGAGGAATTCCACACCATGAAAAGCTATTCGCTCTGTGAAGGCATTGCATAATAGGCTTGCTTTTGATAGTTTTAGGTTTGTCAGTTGTCACTCACAATTGTTGGTCCTGAATCTAGAGATTATAATATTGGATGGTTAGATCCAAAAAAGAAACTGCAAAGTATTAGGTGGTAAGAAACACATAATAGTTTTCACAATTAGTGTTAGAGTCAATTGTGAAACCAAGAAAAACACCACAAAAACCAGGCAAAGTGGGCAATGGCAGTAGCATTTAGGCTGTAAGTAGCAATAAAATCCATCATGCATCTGCAGATGGACTGTTGAGTCTAAATGCTAGTAGCGCTAGCTATATTACTTAGGGTCGTCATAGCAACGCAACATGGTGCACCAGGAATGGGATCTGGTGTGCCATAGTTCACGAAGTTGGCGCACATTGATACCGTTGTCACTGTACTGTTTTAGTGCGAATTTGGTGCTACTGTTTTGGTGCAATTTCGGGGTCTGTTTTTGGTGTTTTTATCGTGCAGTTTTTGGTGCAGTTCCAACGCTTTTCTGGTGGTTTTGTTGGTGCAAGTCTAATGTTGTTTTAGAGGTGATTCTGATGCTGCTGTTTTGGTGTAATTCCAATGCTGTTTACTTTTTTGGTGTAAATTTAGTGCAGTTTTGGATCTTTTCTGCTGCTGTTTTGGTGCAACTTTAGGGTTGTAGCAGTGTGAATCTAGTCTAGCTGTTTTGGTGCATTTCCGGTGCTATTTTGATACTTTTCTAGTGCAATTCTGGTGTTGTTTTGAAGAACTTTTGGTGCTGTTTTGGCGCATTTTTGGTGCTGCTGTCATGCAGTTCTGGTGCAAATTTGCTGCAATTTTAGTTTTCTTCTGCAAATCTGATATACCTTTGATTCTTTTGGTAAAGGTAAATACAAGATACTTGACTCTTTATGGATTGAAATATTTATCATGAAATAAATTTTGTCCAAAGTATCTTCAATTGTATTTATATCAAATGAAGAAATGTGTACTTTATCTTTAGATTATATTGTCCAATGCGTAATTTCATCTTAGAATGTATACCATATTTGCACCATCGACACATATAATATCAAAATTTTAAAGCCAACTTCTCAACAAATTGAAACCAAACATACATTATATATTCATTCATACCAGAATTCGTTACATTGCAAAATGAAAAGATACATTTTTCTATACTAGGACAACAACACGTGAAAGAATCTAAAAGGACAATTTTCAATTTCTTGATCTAAACTCGCATTTATAAACTTCCGCGAGATAGAATATTGAATTTGCCCCAATCTTTTTCTCTTCAACTTCTAGGCTTTTCTAGATTCTCACGTGCCTTCAATTCTCTTCGAACTCACTAATATTTAGAATGTATATCATAATTGGTGCAATCAGAATGGACAATGTGGCCAAATGATCTTGTACGCAAGAAACTTGTCTGCAAATGTACAAGATACTGATATGTTTAGTACCCCTCGTAATAAAATTCAATTAGGAGTGTTCTAGTTAGTGAATTATCAACAGAGAAAGCACACCCAATGATCACCATAATCTCAAAATTTTATTGCCTTTTCTCTCTGAATTTAAACAATCTATCGCAGAGGACATCGAAGAAGGCTCGATGAAGATTGATTTGTATTCATAAAAATAGAATACCCTCAGATTGCCCAATGAAGATTACTTACGAATAAATTGTGTGAAAATGAAAGAGGTGTATACCCTCAAATTGCCTCTATTAGGTGCAACAACAATTAATAATAAAGCACTCGTGAATCCACAAGGCAAGGTAAAAACAATTGAAGGTTTGTTTTAAGATGCACAAATTAAATGCAAGCCATCTTTGGTAGCTTGATTTAGACTTGAGAAATGGTGATTTTAATCCAAGAGAAAAAAAGATTAAAAGGTAAATTGAGCAAGTTATCTGTTAAATAAAGAGGAGAATTAGTTGACTTTAATCTAAAGTTAGCAGGAATGCTAAGGAAAATATAACCTAGCTAATGAAGAAAAAGTCAACTAGGCATTTCTTATTCCTATCTGGAAATGAAACCTTTTTACCATACACATCCTTGAGAAATGGTGATTCTCCAAAATGAACTTTTTTTTGGAGTATCTGCCCGTCGATATTTTTAAAGAGTCAAAGTAACATTTTACCTAACTTATATTGGGCTCAAAATGTCAAATGCTGAAATATAAAATAGACTAAGGTGTAGTTAACTTTCTTATCCGTTAGGTACACCTACGCAAGTCTAAAGTACTCTTCCCCTATGCACGTATTCTCTAAAATATTTCAGCACACAACATTTCAAATCCATATCAATGACTCTCTGCATAAGGTTACAACATAAGAGTTTAGTGTTGAATGAGTGGCAAACCATAAAGACCAGAAATACAATTTTCTGGATCTGCAGACATTATAACTTAATGATATTCGAACAAAGCGACTAAGGAAGATAACAAGGGAGTATCAAAAGAAGTTAGTCGAAATCTTGACACATATTTGGGTGAAAAATCCTTTAGTGTTGGGACAAAGACCCAATCGTTGCACAATTCAGCATCAACGCATTCGTAGGAATGGTTGGCCCAATGACAGTGAGGATGAAGACGAAGATATGAATATTCATTGTGATGCTTGTAGCTGTGATGTAACTTTTTCCCCTTTCCCTTCTTTTCTACTCTGTAATATTTTGACTCTAAATTTTGTGCATAATTTAGTTTTAGTAATGAAATAAACCCATCACTGTTGGGGAATGTCAATCAATAACAATTCTTCATGTTTTCTGGAAATACTAACAATAACCATCTATTAGCATTACATGTCTTTAGCTGAACTGTTTTTCACACAAAACTCGTTTGATATTTCATGCTTCGAAACAAAAAACACCTACATGATAGTTCAATACAGGCTACAACTCAATGTGGTATTATTTCTTCGTTTCTTCCTTTTGATTTACCTCATAAAAGCAAAGCTAGGACCACAACTATAGTTCTATCATCATACGACATTGAAAATATTCAACTAATACACTTAGAATTAGCAAGCAATTCAGACTCAAATAGATGTACAAAAGTTCTCTTAGAAAGTATTCAAATCGCCCCTCACACCTGCCCACAGCAACCAGAAAGAGAGTATAATCTCAGAGCTGTGAGGTCATCAAACGTTTCTGACAATGAACCCCAAAAGAATACCAGCCAAGCCAACCAGCAAGATGTACAAAAGTCGAACTCCAGTACGACGTTCGTGACGTCCATGCCTAAGAAGCTCCTGGACAATGGTTTCAAAAAGAACCAAATGATAAAATCATCTTAGCCAAAATGTCAACACAACAGATGGAAAATTTTCTTTGTGCACACCTACTAAATTCAAACAGTTGTTACAAGAAAATCCAGATAAAGGCCCAAGTTTGTTATGAAGTTCCCAGCTTAGGCCAAATCACCACCCTATGGTTACCACACTAAAACTAAGTAGTCTATGAACTACTCCCTCCGTTCCTTTTTATATGTCACAGTTTTAGATTGCACTTGTATTAAGAAATTATGTAACTTTACCCTTATACCCTTATTTGATGTTTTCTTAAGTCAACTTTTCAATAAATGATGAATATGCTAGATTTCAAAAATTAAAATGCATTTGGATGACTATTTAAATTTTTGAGTTTATTTTCAAAATCAGATTTTATAGAATAGTGAATGGAGAGAGTAATTAATCAATGTATGAAGTACTCCAATAAATATTAATTACTTAATAGTTTTCCTAGGTTGATCAAAGTATATATTTTCAAGACCAATTAACTACTGGTAATTTATGCATTGATTTTATGAAATGACAAGTATTATGGTCCAACTATTTATAGAAAGGGATGACATATAAAAAGGAACAGAGGGAGTATTTTCTATTTTCTGCTGATTGCACAATAAAGTTTCTTAAAATCAACTTGGTCCACATTCTAAATACAAGTTCTAGTCTCTAACAGTTACCACCTTCTCTCTAAAACTCGCCTTTCAACACTAACTTAGATCATTTGGTTAATGCTTGTACGCTAACGGACCTGTTTACTGCTATAACTGGGGATTAATGACCTTTAAGCTACCATGCACATAAAATTATCTGGAACTTGTGAACTAGTAGACAGAAAAAGGAAACATCAATTTACTTAAAAACCATTGACCAGTAATGCAGAAACACAGGGAAGACACATTTTCTTTGACTGCTGCACTAACACAGTCTCCTTCTGGAATGATACGGATGCTAGTAGCATTAACATATACGCCTCCCATGATAATTGGTTCAAAGACCAGGCCTCTCGGGTTCACTTGGAATATCATTAATAGCAGCAGGACTGTTAATGGGTTCATAACCTGGAAAGACCTGTTACCTTTTTGTCTTTGGAACGTTTGGCTCACTGGAAATGACAATACCACAACAACAACAAACCCAATGTAGTCCCACAATAGTTTTCATAAATAATAAAAATCATTTTCCCTTATAAAAGTGTCAGCCCAAGGGCTATGGAATCCCATTTGTGAACAAATAGCCAGACTAGTGATATGCCCATTGCGGTTAGTTGGGAAAAAGGTAGAAGGAACCACTATAACCTTAACATGGACGGTTCTTCATTAGGTAATCTAGAAGTTGGAGGTATGGGAGGGATTTTATCGATAGCAGCAGATACTGGGTTCTTGGATTCATCAAAGGTGTTCCAAAAGCTACTAACAACATGACTGAACTTTGTGCCTTGCTCTACAGATTGAGGATCACTGTGAAAAATAACTACATGCCACAAAAGATCAACACTGACTCCTTAGAGGTAATTAATCTACTCCTTAAAAATAATGACACTTACTCTACTATTATGGATGAATGCAGGTTATTGACGGTGATGCTACAAGCACCTCAGCTGACTCACTGCTACAAAGAACAGAACATCGTCACGGATTAACTAGCAAAGGAACGAGCAAAGAAGAAACTTTTTGGTAACATATTTTTGTTGATAGTTCCTCCTTGTTCGCCTATGATGCTTTCAGTTACACATATTAGGAACTCCTTCTAAAAGATCCATCTCAGTTATCTATACCAATCCCGCCTTTCATATATATATATATATATATATATATATATATATATATATATATATATATATAAATATATAAATATAGTAGAAGACTCCAGAGGCTGTCTGAACCCTGTATTTTGTAATGATGCCTAACTATGTTTAATATATATAAAGAATGTCTGTTAATCCAAAGATAAAGAAAGAAACATCAAATACCAGGTCTCGGTTGAGCTTGGCATTTTGTCGAAGAATGGAATCTCTCTCTTCCATCAACCTCAAAATGAGATCTCTGGCCTGCAGTACAGCCAAGAAATGAATTTTGTATCAAAAAGGAATCATCACACATCTGTCTGGTATCAAAGTTGGAAATGTGAGAGGACATTAAGTTTGACACTAGCATGCTGAAAGAACGAAACCCGTTGCCTATCACTTCCCAAATCCAAAGATAGATGTTGAGGCATACAGTGTTTCTGTAGAAGAATCAAGCATAGACAATTCTTATTCAACAATTCTACTGTTTATGTTCTTTCTTTTTTCTTGTTTTGATGAAATTTCACATGTAATAATTATCAAACTATCTCCTTCTCAGGAGAGATAATCCTGAAATAGTAAAGAAATATTTTAAAATTCATAATTACAATAGCGTTGGGTGTTTCCAGCTTGTTTATCACCTCTACCTGTGTATGCAAACTTGAGCTAACTCTTTAAATGACTAAACAATTTTTGAGTTACCAAGTAAGTTGGTGAAAAGAACGACAACACAATAATACGCCTCAAACCAATCAAGTTGGGAAGCTGGTGAAAAGAAACAAACATAAATTTATTTTCTCTTCAGGTTCTGGTGTCACCTTTTATTCAATGAATAAGAGATTTCAACAAGTAGGGTTTGCCATTTGTCAAAAGAGTGTCTGGAGTTGCTGACTACCAACAGAAGCAGCAGACCCATTGATTTCATAAGAATTGCGCTTAGCATAAATTGTTGAAAACAGAACGTTGGATTAAGAGGCTGAAAAAGAAGGAAAATACTATTCTCACTTATCACATTTTGAAGGTGAATAACAGTGTTTGTATATTTTTTTTTTCTTTTGATGTTATATTAAGGGTTTATAGATAATTCTTGCAAAGTCCTTCTGAAATTTCTTAAGAATTACATGTTTACTACAATGACCTCCATCTTTTTCTTTCTTTCTGGAAAACTGAGAAATCCCCAAGGGCGAGTGGGGAACAGTTAGGAACTCGGTAGATAACGAACCCGCCCTTCCACCCTTCTCCACTTAACCATGCTTTAGTAGAGGCATTGTTCAAACCTGTGACATGTGCCTAACCCACATATCACATATTTGTGCTCTTACTATTAGACCAAAGCCCTGCGGACCTAATACCTCCACCTACTAAACAGATTAACTGCACAACAAGGAAATGATAGTTGAGGTCTTGAGGATCAAATCAACTTCCTATAAGTGTAGGTTATAAAACACCAACATATATGGTCCCCTTTTAGGTGAAGAACCAGCTGAGAAGATGGTAACAAGGGAAACTAAATATTGAATAAATCTAACAAAAGCTGATCAAATTTCTCGAGTTGAAAAAGTAAAATCTGATAGGTTAATGGGTTTCATAAACCTTTCTAATGAACACAAAGATTCAAAGAGTTCACTTAAGGTGTGCCCAGACTTCTTACCTGGTTGAGGCCATCAAGTAACTCCAATGAGTCAGAAGGTACTCAACGTTTACAGGTCAGATGACAAACATTTTTCCCAGGAGACTTATTTGTCTAATGAATTAAAAATATCCAGACGTCAATGCTTTACATGACCACCATAACATACCTTAACAGAGTTGTCCTGAGGCTCACTGTGTTCTTGTAAATCCTGTATAAGCAACAAAAAAATCATTTACAACTAATGTATGTCCCTACCATGATGAACAGATAAATAGAATTAAAGGTGGTATTCTAATTGATTAAATAAGATACAATAAACTAATTTAGATTGTCATTTTACAGTGTCAGAAGCTGTTGGTGAAGTTCCTTCCTCAGAATCTTCAGGGACTGGTGATGGTTTTTGTGGTGGTGAGACATAAATAACTTTTAGTTTGCATTCCTCAACATCATTTCCCCCGGGCTTGTTGAACTTCAGAAAATGAAAAGAATAAGATTGGATGTACCAAAGTTGACTACAATATATAAAACTTTACGAAAGGCTAAAATAAGCTAAAATACCATGTCTGGGTTAATATCTTTTGGTGTAGACCCAGGGTCCACAATCACACTCTGTACAAGAAACTTGTCTTTGCATTGCATATCTGGAGGTAACTCCATTTGAGGTTGCATTGTAACTAAGTCCAATTATCCACAAATGTAAACCAAAAATAACATCAAACATCCATCAAATCTAAAATACCCATCACAGAAAACTAGAAAAGCACCTGTAACATTGGACCTTGATCGTGGGAGAACAATTCCACTGTTCGGCCTAACAGTATACTTCCTGGGATTGGTCGTCTTTACCTAATAAAAGTTAACAACAGTATATAATTTAACCATTTCAATACAGTAGTAAATCCTGCTCAGCCATAATTATACAACAACTAACTTCTAAATGACTATTTCCTTGATTACAAAAGATCTTCCTCATAAATCACATTTCTTCCGTCAATTATGATTCTTTTAACTGAAAAAAAAAAATCCATAATTGAGTTAAGTTAAGCATTTCAGCCTTTTCTATCATCTAAATCTATAAGGTAAAATTACCCTCAACTAGTATTTGAGGCAAACCAAGTGCTTTAACTTTATGAATCACAAATTAATGTGCTTCTTCATTTCCGGTATTTCCTTTTCGATCTACTTTGTACTGTTTTTCTCGATCTATCGAAAACAGTAAATAAGTTATGCGTACACCCTACCCTACCCTACCCAGACTTCACTTTGTGAGATTACACAAGGTATATTGTTGTTTTTTTGGTTGGTGCCCATATTGAAACTCCGACTAAATTTGGATCGAGCATTGCTGGGTCCATTTGGGTGGCTCTCCAACATGATTCTCTCTGTACTTAGGACTCGAACCCCTGTATGTTGTTGTTGTTGAATCACAAATTTAAGTATACATATTAATTAACTATAGTTACACTATTTTTAGTCCCCAAAACCCATTTCAAAAAATAAAAAATGGAGATTAAGTAAAAAAATGATATAGTACCTTGAAAGCAACATGATTATCAGTCTTATTGATGAGTTGAAAGAAGGTGGAAATTGACTTGTTGAGTTCAACTTGGAAACAAGAAAAAACAATAATCAAAACCCTAGAAAGTTAAATTAAAACTGATAAAATTAAAGAAGAGGAAGAAGAAGAAGAAACTCACGTGTAAATTTGAGATCCAAAGGATCGATACTTAGAAGTAGTTGTTCAGTTGTCATCTTCAAAATCAAAGAAATTTCTGAATTCTCAAGAGACGAATTTGAACATGAATTTCATAAGTTTGCTTTTCCCAAGCCAAAATAGAATCTTATTTTGACGGAATCAGAATACATATATTTTATTAACATAATACTTAATTGATTTTAGTGTATATTTTTATTATATTAAATAAACTAGTAAAATTATTCGCGCTTCGCGCAGGAATTTAATATCATGAAATTTATAAAATAATACTTAAAATCTATCCGTCATTAAAACTAAAAACTATGTTATCTTACATTCAAGATTACATAGTAACAAACATTAATAATGTAAAGGAAAATGAAAACTATTACATCTTATCATTTATTGTTAATAACATAAGCATAAATTAATAGCTGTAAAAATACAAATCAGGATCTATAACATAAAGCAATGGTGTCAGTGAACCACTCAATAAGAGCAAGTACACAAATATTTAATTGTGGAGAAGAAGAAGAAGAGGTTCAAAATTTCGTTGTTTTAAAATGAGAGAAAATCCCTCTATTGATAGACAACAAAGGGTAGTGTGAACAAATGTTTATTGTGTCTTATCGGAAAGGTTACAACTATTTGAAAAAGTTGCAACCCTTTGAGAATGTCATAACCTTTCATAAAAGTCACAAATTTTCATAAAAGTCGCAACTCTTTATTAAAGTCATAACTTTTCATAAAAGTTGTAACTCTTCATTAAAGTCGCAACTTTTCATAAATGTCACAATTTTTAATGAAAGGGGTAAGGCTAGTTTTGAAAATAAATAAATGAAAAGAAAATTCTGATTTGTGATAGCACCACATAGGCGGGTCTAATGTTCTCTTTTATATATATATATATATATATATATATATATATATATATATATATATATATATATATATGATTTATTTACTCAGAAAGCACGTTTTTCTTTACAAATTTTAAAAATGATTTTCCAATATCTTCATATTATTAGGCGAAGATCTTCTATTAATTATTTTTAATAAAATAAAGGTTTAAAATGTTCTTAAAATTATAGGAAATTAAAAAATATTCTCCATTGATAATTTGTCTAAAAATACCTTTATTGTTAATATTCTGATAAAAAAAAATATTTTTACTTTTGGTAAAAATATCTTTTTCCATAATAAACATATTGTTTTTAAAAAAAAATTTTGGGATAATTTTAAAAATTTCCCTTGAGGTTTCACTCTACGGCACACACATTTCCGTGGTTTACCATATTACGCTTACCTCCTTTATTTTGATTTTTACGTAACCATTCTTTAAATCTATTTAAAATAAATCTAAATTAATTATAATTTGACAAATTTGTCCCTCTTCGTATTATTTCTTTCATATTATTTTAAAATATAATTTATTTAATAAATACTTTAAAAATAGATCAATATGAAGAAATGTGTATTTTTATTTGGAAAAAAGAACACGTGTATTACTATATATAATAAATGGGAATAACTACTACTTAGCACATGACAAGTGTTGGATGATATGTGTTTCATAGTGTTGTACATTCTTCTTTTATGGTTGTACCTTTAAAATTTATATTATTTGATAATTTAACACCATTAATTACCTACTACTTTATTAGCCAAAAAGTTTGACCTCATTTGGGCCCATTTATTATTTATATGTTTTCAATTTTCAATATATGTTGTCTATCTAATTCTTTTTTTCAACCTTTTATTTTAAACTTCTTGAAATTTAATTACCTATTTATTACTCTCTCTATGCACTTTTAATTGTTATGCTTTCCTTTTTAGAGTCAAACTATAAGAATTTTAACTAATATTTTACAATGTGTTTTTTCATCATATTCATAGGCAAAAAATTACAATTATAGTACTTTTTGTATAGATTTTGCATATTTAATTTTTTTTTAAAATATCGAATTAATACAATCTGATTTAACTTTGAAAATTAGTCAAATGGACTTTCAAAAAGCGCAACATGATAAATACAAGTGGACGAAGAGAGTATATTTTAGCTACAAAATATATTAGAGGTACAACTTTTTTAAAAAATTAAATTTTTATTGCGTTGACTCTTGAAATCTTATCATTATCATATGAATTTGAACAAATTATATATTATTAAAAGTTACATAAAAGATGCTATAAATCACAATAATTAGCAATTAAAAATATTTTAAAATCATATAAGAAATTTGGTTGACTAATTGGAATAGAATAAGTAACATGTACTATTTGAAAATAACGTCAAAATTTCTACAATTCACAATAAATTAACAACTGAAAATATTTATGATTATTCACGTGAATTAAAACATGAGTAACCTATATTATTCAAAACTAACGCAAAAATACTATAAATCACAACAATTTAATAACTTCAAATATATTTTTAAGAAAACATATAAAAAATGGACTGATCTTCAAATTCCATTTATATCACATAAATTAAAACAAAAAAAATTAATATTTATTGCACGGGCACCAAATATCTATATATATGTGTCACAAATGGAAAAGTCCCAATCAAGGAAGCAACATGTATCATTTACAAATGACTTAAAAAGCATTAAAAATTACAATAATTACCAATTTAAAAAATTTAAAAGCTATATAATAAAATACGTTGACTCTCAGAATTCTATCAGACTCACATATATTGGGACAGAAAAAATAACACATATCATTTTAAAATTACCAAAAAAGTATTATAAATAATAATAATTAACAACTTAAAATATCTGAAAGACATTTTAAAAGGGTTAATTTTGTAATTTTATTCATATCACATAAATTAGGACAAAGTGACCAGTAATGTACGTTATTTGAAAGTTACATAAAAATATTATAAATCACAATAATTAATAACTTAAAACATTTTTTTTTAAAATATAAAAATTTGGATGACTCTCCAAATTTCATTTGTGTCACATAAATTGAGACAACACAAATAACATATATTGGGTCCATTTTAATTTATTTGTCTTATTTTTTATTTATTTTTATATTTAAAAATTGCGTAAAAATACTATAAATCATGATAATTGACAATATAATATATGTTTTGAAAAAAATACAAAAAATTCCACTGATTCTTGAAGTGAATCTATCGTAAAAATACTATAAATTATGATAATTGACAACATAAAATATTTCAAAAATGTTGTATGTGGGTAGTCTTATTATGCCTTAAATAGTGTCAAAGAAAGTATATGTTTGTGATAAAAAAAACTTATTCCTTTATCCACGCAAACAATCGCTTCAAAAACTCGGTTATTAGCCCCAAAACATACCATTTATATTATTGGGCCGTGCATAGTACGATCTAGTATATATAATATGTGTTTTAGCACTTACTTATTTATGTTGATTTATTTTTAAAGTATTTATTAAATAAGTCATGTTTTTAATAATATGCATTAATATGAAGAAATTAATATAAAGAAAGGTAAATTTGTCAAGTCATAATTGATTTATATTTATTTTAGATAGGTTTAAAGAATGGTTAAAAATAACCAAAATAAGGGAGGTAGGCGTAATAACGTAAACCGCAAGGGAACTGAATATTATAGAGCGAAACCTGAAGGGAGGTCTCCGAAATTATCCCAATTTTTTTTTCTTTCTAATAAAATATTTTTTAAGGAACTTTTTTTCTAATTATTTTTCTTTTAAAATTCCTTTAATTAATATAAAAATGAAAAAAAAATCTTTTTTTTCTTCTTAATCTCCTTTAATTAATAAAAATAAAATTACCATGTATACTTTTTAAATTGATAATATGTGCCATATATATAAAACGGAAAAAGGTCAAATATGAAAAAATGTTACCATGTATACTTTTTAAACTTATAATATGTGTCATATATATATATATAACAGAAAAGGTTAAATATGTCTCTGTATTATTAGAAATAGTTTAAATATACTCATGTTTATACTTTGGGTCCAAATATACTCTCTCATAATACTTTGACACAAATATACCCTTAATTTTGATAAAAAGACACATATCAAACTTAGAATTAAATGAACCACTCCAATTTTAAATACCCAATTTCTATAGAAACTCACCCATCTAGATCCGACCCATTTTCTTTTCTATTCATCTTCTTCACTTTTGTCTCAAGAACAAAGGACTTGAATATATCCTAGATCCTCCACAATAGTTTCAAATCTATATTTGTTATATACATAGTATACTGATAATTAAGTGTTGTACGGAGGGGTGTGATAATAGGGAAATGTTACCGTTGGGTGATACTAGAAATAAACTGCTTTTCCCTACTCGTATCTCATTGATTTCCACTACTAATATTGCTTAAGCATTCAAGTTGTTACAATTTATTTACTGTTATTCGGCCACACTTTCATGGACAGTCAAGAATCCTCAACAAGAGTTCTCTATCTATTTTGCTTTGTTCATTTTTACATGTACTTTTAAAAAAAAATTTCAAACGTTATTCACCCCGTTGAGACTTGATGAGTTGATGTTCTTCTATTTCACAAAAAAAAAGACTTTACAAAAGGATTAATAATTGTGTTATAAATATAGTGAATGTTGTGAATGAAACTAACTACATAAGGGCCTATGGGCGGGAAGAGGTGAATGAGGCGGGTCCATTTAAGATTATTGGGTGGATTAAAATGTTGGAGAATTTTATTTGAGATCTAGGTCCAATTATCAATTGGTTAAATAGGTTTTGGAGTTAACATAAAAGGGTTATGCATATTGAAGAAAAATGTTTGTTCCTCTCTTCTTCTTCTAGAGTCTAAGCTTCTCATCCCAATTTTTATTTCTATCTTAGTTACTTGTTATTTTCATATTTTCATTGTATTTCAATAGTTTGACTATTGCAATTACGATTCCAAAGTTGTAATCGTGTTTAGTTCTCTTATCAATATAGTGAGCAATTCGGGTTTGTTGCATTGGTGTTTTCATCGATTGTACTCCAACAACAGTGATGGTTCTACCTAGATTCAATGGCGACGGCAACCCAGAGAGTTGGATTTTTCGGGCCGAGTTGTACTTCACATACATTGGCTTCAATGAGAATGACTGGCTTCCGTTTCCTTCATTCTACCTTGATGGCGAAGCTCTTGCCTGGTTCAGTAGCTTATT